AGTTGAAACAGACTTTCATAGGTTGAAACACGACCAACTAGGCTGAAACAAACCTAACGAATTATCCAGAACACAGAACATTCCACAACACTTTGTATCAGACTACACAAGAAGAGGACAACAAACTAAATCCTCCCAAGAACTCACCATGTTACCTCCCATGAAGTAGAAAAGTCGGAGACCGTGGACTTAAGGACTGGCAAGAAGTCTTCAGCGTGTATAATTGTGTTGTCATTATACACAACTTTTATATAAGACCCTTAAGTAACAAGACAACACATCAACACTCACCTGATCATCACAGACGACAAACTCTGCAACTGTATGGAGCACATCATTCCTTGAGAAATTGGGCAACTCTGTTTTCTTCTGGAACATCTTTGTGAGGCACTTCTGACCACTTTTATTTGCCTGTTCCCATTCTTGCACCAATGAATGTGGAATTGTGTAATGGTGCTCAGACAGTCCCATCTCTGCACATTTCTTCTGGTACACCTCATAATGGCTGTGAATATGTTGATGGCAGCTCAAATTACTCCTAACATGAAAAGTTTTTCATTTTCCATGTGTGGCAACAAATTTTAGATTTGCTCTTGATCATTGTATCTCAGATAAGTATTTAAAAAAGATTCTTGAATGCTATCACTTACTTGCATATATTGTACCAGCGCCCTCTCTTCTGCTCTACCCTGCCATCTGAATTGACAAACTTCACAGTGCACTTCTCCAAAAATACTGTGAGTAGGTCCTCCGCAGATTTGTTTTTGGGTTTCAGTGCTTCAGGCAGTGCTGCACCATGCCTATCTTCAGGACCATCATCACTGTCCTATTTTTGCAATTGAGCTCATGATTTATTTCAGAATAATAAGAGACCAATCTCGTCTCTCTCATCCTGCTCTTTATCACTTGGATTCATCAGGAAACTGGGTTTTTCCCTGATTTGGCTGATGTGACTGTATGACATGACTGGTCTGATGTCAAACTAACAGTCAATCAGTAATATTATATACAAAATGATCACAGTCCAACAGGATATCATAATGGTCAAACATACCAGACAAAGTAGCCAATCCTATTCACAGACTATTGTGGTTGTCAAACACAGCAGGCTAGGTAGGATATCAGTCTCTCAGGACCACTGGACAATCAAATATATCAGACCAAGTCAGAACACAGTTCTGACAGACTTTCAATATTATCAGACCCATCAGATACATCATAAGCACATATATACAACATAACTGGTTAGTCAGACACATCAGTGTGATCAAGCACTCAGATATTCAGCCTATCTGATGGTGCAGACACCTCAATAATGTCATATCCCGTATTCCGGACTTACATCCGACAATATTCCCACGCCTCATCCGGACCTTCGGACGCCCTATCCATGTCTCCAGTCCTCTATCCATCCGGATCCCTGCACATATATCCACGCGTCTCATCCGGACGTCCGGTCCGATCCGATCCAATATACGATAAGCTTCCTAATTCATTCCTGTGCATATAACGTTAACACAGCCTATTCCTCTATTCGGTATTCCTTGTCCTCGGTATCTCGGTTATACTTACTACCGGTATGCTTACTGATCCGTTAACCTATGCTTCATTTCCGACTCGTGCTTGATAACTTTGCTTATGCTTTATACATAGCCTCGGACACTTGCTTACTGATCTTTCTGTTATTTCCTTAGTATATAAACTCTTGTATATGTCCTGTAGTTCCTCAGTCTGAATATCATATTAGTCCTTGCACTGGATCTCACTCTAAGTCCTCATATCAGTTCTAGTCTATCGACTTAGTCAATATCCATCTCGGGCCTAGGGAGAAATTCCCTAGGCCAGAGCTCCGCTTATCCGCTCATCCACTTATCCGCTCATCCGATCCTCCGAAGTTTCTGGACGTTCGTCCGAAACTTTCCTGCGGTCCTCCGGACATATTCTGCTTCGGACTTTGTCCTTGCAGCCTTTCCTCTGTTTGCTTCTACTTAGGACTTGTCCTAAGTAGCCATTACACGTATCCGTATCAGGACGAAACCTCATCGTAATTTCCGGAACTTTTCCGCACTTGTCCGGAAGTTACTTGCACTCGTCTGGAAAGTCCTTCCGAACTTTCCCGCGCTTCGGACGTCCTTCGGACGTCCTTGGACTTTCTTCGGACATCATTCTGAAATTAAGGGCACATACTCAGGTAAGGGGCGCAGCGCACGAGCTGAAGCCAAGCCCCTCGGAATCAGTCCTACCCTTTGTGCACGGTCTTAACAAATAATAGCAGAGTCCCAGTCTGGCATATGTTTCTAGTTATCATAATGTCAATGTTGACAGATTCAAATGATATCAGACAGCTCAGGTACTTCAATGCAATTCTGCAGTTCCAGTCTCTCCATGTATCAGAATATCTAGTAGATACTCGCTTGTGAGTGATCATGATGGTAGGTGGGGAGGGGGGGTTCAGTTCCGCTCACCAAATTCTTCAATCACTCACTTGTAACAAGTTGTACTAAGTAATGGTAGGTGGAAAAAGGGGGGGGTCCTGTTCCGCTCACCAAATTCTTTGATTGCTCACTTGTGAGTAATGGTAGGTGGTGAGGGGGGATCCTGTTCCACTCACCAAATTCTTCAATCACTCGCTTGTGAGTGATGGTAGGTGGAGGTCAGTTGTTTGCCTCCATCCTCACGCTAAAGGTAAGATGGCCTACTACTATCTTATCACCTGCAGAGGGTAGTATACCCATGGGTATCTAGTACTAGTATATAGTAATACAAATACTAGCTAGTAGCCACTACTAGTACTAGTATTGAATCAAAAGGCAATTTCAAAGGCATGATAATCTGAAAACTTATTGACATAAAAGGCCACAAAAGCAAGTAAAGAATCAGAATGTTGCATATTGTGATCAATGTAATCATTACCATAGACAGGAATCAAGTGTGCTGGATGCAAAATTGTGTCCAAGTGAATTACTGAAATAAGATGCTGACCATTGGCATCAAACTCTGGCTCAACCATCCACATACCAGTGTTAGGACATGGCTGATCACCAATAGTTTCAATCCAATGGACAAGTGCACAAGGATAATTAACTCCCCGAAAGTAAAAAGAGAAAAAGAGAATGACTTGAGCAACATACAGACTCTTGAATCCTTGTAATGTAGGATCATGTTCAACAAAACCACAATCATGATGAGCAGGTCCATTACGCCAAGTTGGTGTTGAGCGGATGATATGATGCAGCATACCATTGACTCCACAAATATCACTAGGAGCATAAAATTATGCAACTGCAGAACTAAAAACATGCACCTTGCCATTGAAGTCTGGACAAAGGGACACATCCATCTCATGCCCAGGCAGAGGATGATCAGGATTTCGCTGATCATGTAGGAATTGACGTATAATATCATGGAAGTTGAGAACACCAATGAGTTGGCCAATAGCCTGTAACCAAGTTGGATGATGAAGCACTAATTGACATTCCACTCAATTAATGTGCTCAAAATAATGAAAAAAATACACATACCTGGTGTTTTGGCCAGCTAAACAATTACTTCAGGTTTATCTTCCTCATCTACAAATGCATCTGCCAAATCTTCATCATCTCAACAATTTTCATCATCCAGATCACTAATAGAGTCAGAGTTGACAGCAATGGTATTAGTTAGCAGTAAAGGTTGGCTAAGAAGGCCTGCAGCAAACTTCTCAGCCCAGAATTGAGCAAGTTTATTGAGACATTGATTAGTCACAAGTATTTGACCTAGTGCAAGATAGCTATGATAATGGCAAAGTGAATGTTGACGAGGCAAGGAGATCCCATTAGGTCGAACACCTGTGTCCATAAAGATGCTTCGCTTGTCATGAAAGCATAGGAGGGCAGCATCAAGAGCATTTAGATCACCTTCATCCAGGCTCAAACGACGGACTATATAGCAGAAGTCCAAAAAGGTGCTAATTGCTTGAACTTGTCATATCCCATATTCCAGACCTACATCCGACAATGTTGCCACGCCTCATCTGGACCTCCAGATCCCCTATCTATGTCTCCAGACCTTCAGTTCCTCTATTTGTCCAATTCCTGGATCCGATATCAAGACATTTGATCGGACATCCACATCTCCAGATCCAACCTATCTGTCATGTCCAAACTCAAACCTTAAATCAGTGCCCATCCCCTTATGGTAATCATGCAATCATCTCCGAACTTCTGAACTTCCGGATCCGGTTAGCTCCTATCTTCTGTGCCTTTTCCCTTTAGTATTTCCCTTATTAGTTAGTATGCTTTATTTTCCGTCCCTTATTCATTTCCATCTTCATGTTACTAAGTTCTGATAGACTAGTGTTAGGTGTTCCACATGCTCCATCCATAGCCTCACACTGCGCTAACTGATTCTCCATTATGTCCTTTGTAGTATACAAATCCTGTAAAGTCTCTGTACTTCCTCAGTCTGAATATCATATTAGTTCTAGTCCTCCAACTTAGTCAATATCCATCTCAGGCCTAGGGAGGAATTCCTTAGGCCAGAGCTCCGCTCCTCCGAACCTATTCTGCTTTGGACTTTATCCTTGCAGCCTTTCCTCTGTTTGCTTCTACTCAGGACAAGTCCTGAGTAGCCATTACACATATCCCTGTCAGGACGAATCCCCATTTTAATTTCCGGAAGTTCCTCCAGAACTTTCCCACACTCATCTGGAAGTTACTTGTACTCGTCCAGAAAGTCCTTCCGAAGTTTCCTGCGCTCCTCTGGAAGTTCTTTGGACTTCACTGGACTTTCTCCGGACTTCATTCTGAAGTTAAGGGCACATACTCGGGTAAGGGGTGCAGCGCACGAGCTGAAGCCAAGCCCCTTGGAATCAGTCCTACCCTTTGTGCATGGTCTTAACAGAACCATTTTATCTGGGACATGGCCAGCAATGGCTGGTAGAAAGACCTGTAGCTCATGTATTAGAAACAAGAGTAACTGAATAAATAATGATTTTTATCTTCATTAGTGCCTTAGAATCATCACCTGTCCACTGCTTGAATCTTTGGCCCTATGGAAATCATCGAAGACCCAGAAATGATGGGACCACAGCAATGCTAAATTATTACTAGGTCAATACAATAATGCAGGAAACAACTAGATATCACTTGGTACCAATGATCAATATCAGCCCATATCAACTCAGCTTGTGCTTCGCCATATGTTATCACAAGGTACTCGTCAACCCACTTGACGAGATGGTCTTTGAAGGTGCCCTTGATAATCTGATGAAGAATATCGGGGGCAAGAAGTTCATGGATATCAGCACGCGGAAAATATGCTGTGAAAGGCTATGAAATTATTGCAAGTCAATACTAAGACTTGAGTATCAGTACTACTACGAGGTAATGCCTACCAAAATATCATCAATGATACCCCACCCAAACCACATGTCTAATGCCAAAAAACTCTGCTTGAGAGTTCTCATATGAAGGTGTGATCTTTAGCTACATTGTGTCCCATCCATGTTTTTGGGATCAGCAGTCCCACTGTCAATAATCCACAGTACAGATTAGATTCAAAGTGTGCTCTTCGAGCAACAGAAAATGACATACTGCGGACACCAATTTTGAACAATGCATGATAACAACAGCTGTTCAGGATAATCTGCAATATAGGGTCCAAGATCATAGACTGCACGTCGGTAGTGGCTGTCCACACACTTAACAATCTCTGGCTTTTCCATTGCGTGATAAAAAGATTTGAGAATTGCCCTTAACAATGCATGAAATAAATGATGGCAAAAGTTTCGAAACTCTTTGCTTCCATCGTGACCTCGTTCGGCTAATAGACACACAGTTAATATATATTTGTATCATATTCAAAGGGAACATACTCTTGGGAATTGATAGAAACCCGACGAGACTCACAGACTCTCGATGTGCACATCGAATGTTGTTGTGGAGGTTGCTGGCAGATATATATAACAGATAGTAATCGTTTTGACCGGTCACTACTGAAACTGTAGTCTTGTCACTGCTGAGAATAACTGGCATGAACATAGCGCCATGGCAGTCTGGATCATCTGCAAGGGTATTCTACAATTATACCGGTTAACACTGGCCAGCGAACTACAACTGGGCACTCACACATTGGCCCCATGCCCAATTTCCAGTCATCAGATCTGTCCAGACCTGCTGACCTTGCTCACCAAAGACTCGTCATGGTGCATAGTCAATGCCTCCAGCAAACTCAGGGTTTGAAAGCTGGTTCTGCAGCAGCTCACACAGGTCTCGATACCAAACATCATACTCAACACATTTCCATGGAGCAGTGTCAGGATCATTCTGGAGTATCTCGAAGTCAGGGTGTCGGAGAGACAATGACTGCCACTGAACATCGTGTGAAGAGATGGAGTTGATGGAGTCATAAAGATGGGCATCACTATTGAAAGGTGGATCGCCATGAGTTTCGTTGAAATGTACAAGGACCTGCATCAAGTCGTCTATTTGTTTTGCAGGCATTTGATTGCAGTGGAAGATGAAGTCGGCAAGCTCAAAATGGCCATGGGAAGGAAAAGGATGCCAGGTATCATGTTCTGGGTGAGGTGGGTGGTTGGGAGGCTGGTCCAGAGGTAAATCAAAACCCTCAGCATCACATGGTGTGCCATCTAACACTGGATGGTAGGTGAAGTAGGCGCCCTGAGGCATCTCTTCTGGCGCAATCTCATCATTGACGAATGGATACTGATGAGGGCGGGTGGGACGTGGAGGTTCGATGTAAATAGCATTGCGATGCTGTCAGTATCCACCCAATGTCTTGAAACCACGTCGACAAGCGGAAACTTTAGAGTTGACACAATAGTATTTGCGTGGTCGGAATTCTGAGGTTGGCTCAGCTATTATGTGTTTGAGCTGAAGTCTAACGATTATTATACAAAAACTTGAATGAATGGAGAGCATCAAACGACTTACAGTGTTTTCTCGTGAGAAAGTTGTGTGCACCCAAAGTTAGATTCCTGTTGCAGGACTTCAACTTGCTTTTTATGGGGTGTGAGCAAGTCCTAACCATCGACAATGGTTGCAATGTGTCCGTCAAACAAGTCGAAACATCTGGGCAAGGTAGACTTACCTGCAAAGCGACAAAAGTATGCAGAGGACAGTGACGACGAGGACAATGTCAAAAAGTGTCAGCCTGTCAGGAAGAAGCCAGCACCGAGAAGACACCAGAAGGCCAAGAAAGCTGCAGCAACAAAAGCGATAGCTCAGTTTGAGCTTGAGATGAAGGAGAAGGACGCACAAGACTCATTGCAGGCGAATTGTCCCCCCACATTGAATGTCTCAAAGGTACCTCGAAAGCCGAGCGGTAAGCCTAAGCCAACAGCACAAGGGAAAGCAGCTTCTATATGTACGTGATTTTTTTAGTCTCTGTGCTTGGTGACCCAGCTGATGAGACAATCATAGAGGATGTGATGCTGATAGACAACGATCAAAATAATGAAAACGGGGTCCAGAACAGCGAGAACTTACCAGGATCCTACAAGCCAGGCACTAAGTTCACCAAGGCTCAGAAGGTGTGCCGTGATGTTGAGGCTGCAAAACAGAGGGCTGTGGAGCAACAGAAGGGCAGGGCAGAGAGCAAGGAGGACGAAGAGGTGATGGACAGCGGTGATGACAATGTCAGAGGTGTTGGAAAGAAGCAACAAAAGGGCAGCCACACTTGCAGCGATAGAGAGAGGTGAGTATGATAATCTGATTAGCACTCGAGAATGCTGACTCACCATTCTACAACATCAATCAACGTTAATCAACACTTGTCAACATCGTGACAATGTTGTGCTCCCTCCTCCGAATGCCCTTACCATTGATATGCAGGCCCTCCAGCAAAAGACTCAAGCAGGATGACCTTCTGTTTTCCTCGCAACCACCCCAGAGTGGCATGGTTAACAACTGGTGTCAGGTCATATCCACGCAGGTTCCAAATCACAATCGACAACCCAGTGCTGCACCGAAATCTGTGCTGGCTGCCAGTGGAACAGGTATGTACTGGTTAGCTTCTTCATTTTTTTTTAATTGATTAAGTCAAAATTAAGACTCACTTGCATCCAGAAATACCGTCCGTCCAGGCGGTTTTGAGGTCGAGCTCAATGACGATGAGCAGCCTGAGCCACCTGGACCCCATCAAGGAGAACAAGACCCTCTGTTGACACGCATTGAAGTAATCAAGGTATTTTTCTTTTCTTCTTTTTGCATGTCTTTCAGCACACTAACTACTTATTTATCTTTACTTTAGAATCCTCCCTCCAACAAAGCAGCCTAAGCAACCTCTACAGCAACATCAACTTGCCCTACCCCCAATGAGCCTCTTTCGTGTTCTCCTTCCAAAGCACCTCCTTCATGTCCTGCCTCCAAAGTACCTCCTTCTCATCCTCCTTCAAAAGCATCGATTTCAAACCATACTTTTGGAGAACCCCAGTTCTCACATGCACTTGACGAACAGGCTGGGACAGAAGGCCGGGAGCAAGCAGGTGGTGGATCTGATGAGACTGACATGAGAGAGAGCGAGGACATGCATTACGGTGGGGAACAGGATGATGGTTCCTCCCCCAAACCTGAGAGTGCAAGACCTTACATGTGGAAGGTGCACATTTTTTTAATCTGCAACTTGTCAATCTCACCAATCGCAACCTTTCAGCTCAAAGTAGTCAGTCACACAATCACTTGTCCTCCTCCCGAACGTCAGGGCTCAGCAACCAATTCCATGCAAACAGGTCGATTGAAGACTAGCTACAGCAAGGTAATTCAACTTCCTTTGTCTCTCGCTTTTACTAATATCTATGTAGTCTAATGAGTGTCGTAACGACAGGACCACAGGACGTCAGAAGCAACAAGGGAAAAACAATGCTACCTCTTGCAAAGTAAGGTTTATTTTTACTCTTTGACTTCACTGATGTTTTTCTAGTCTGTTACAAATGCACCATGGTCCATGCACAACAACAGCGAAGACAATGATGATAACAACAACAACAACAACAACAACAACAACAGCAGCAGCAGCAGTGACAACGAATCATCGCAAGCGCCACATACTCGTGTCAAATTCATGAAGAACGACCTTCCCCCAGGCTTGCACTGTGATTTTGATGCCCTCGTTGTGCCGATGTGGATTGATTTTATTTCCACCCTTGACAACATGTGGGATATATCCGATTTTGCTGATGAGATGCAAAGGATATGGGACCTTGCATTACCAGCCATCAAGCACACTGTTTCCAAGTTGAAGGACCCAGTATACAAAATTGTAAGTGCTTACTTTGACTTGCGCAGGCTGTTGTAACTACTTTGACTATGCAGTTGATGCAACGAGCATATCACTATTGCAGCGACTTTGGAGAGCGCGCAAAGATCGTAATCGCAAAGTATATCAAGGAACAAGGCTGGATGTCTGACGAGATTCAACAAGTAGTTGCATACATAGTTCCCGAGCAAATTCCATGGGTCAACAAGAAGGGACAAAAGGTCTTCGTCAATCCCCCAATCTATCCTTACATGTGGAAAGAGTGTCGTGGAGACGAGAAAGATCCCGACGCAAGTACCACAACTTTATACCAAGCCAATTACTGACGTCGTTGACAGAATTATTATGGTGCTTTTGAGGACCAATGCATCCTTGATATGTTTGCGCTATATTTCAAGCATGTCCACTGCCTCCCAACTAAATACTGTTCTGAGCGAATGCCAAAGGGTGCGCTGTCTATCACCACAGTCACAGTATGTCTTATTCCTTGCTCAAGATACCATCATGCTGATACTTGTCTATAGGTCAAACAAACATGGAAAATGTGGAAGACGGGGCATTTTGTTCAACCAACCAAGGCTTCTCAGTGCCAATTTGCAGAAGGACTCTGGAGCTACAGTACGGAGCTCATCATGGAGTCCATTGATGGAGCCACTCGTCATAAATGGAAGAAGATCTTCAAGGGCGCTGCTCCATTCACCGATGCTCATCGGAAATGACCGACTCGGCGCATGCAGTTACAGACTAAGGGTAAGGGTGTGAATGGTCGAACTGTCTGTATAGATGTAGATTCTCATTTGGATCCTGGTTCTGATATCTTGCTCATGGCCTAATACTCGAATTACTCTTCTTTGTCATTGTTTATAGTTTCCCAATGAAGCTGGTGATTTGATGATTTGATGATTTACTTAACTGTGTAGTATTATAACCTGGGTAGGCTGGATGAAGGATTATTATGACATTTTGCCAGGCCTGTTATTCAGATAGTATTGAAGATTCAGTTTGAACTGCATAGACAGAGTATCTTGATTAAGCAGATATGGCTGGTTACCTGAGCCAAAGGCAGTGTTGACAGGATGATTCACTGATCCCTCTGGCAATCTAATGGGCTGAAAAATAAGCTATGGCTACACAGATTGATTATTTTGATAGAGCAGGTATGGCTGGGTAGTCTGAGCCCCTGAGCTTAAGGCACTGTTGATAGAATGACTTGCTGATCTGTTTGATAGGCTGTTATGTCTGATGAATATGATGTTTTAGATGAATTGAATGTCTGATCAAAATGCTGCGCCTGGCAATATGGTATGTTGATCACTCTGACATTGGTCTGATTTCAGAAGTGACCTGTCTGAAATCAGACAAAATCTGACTGACTGATTTGTTTGATTTGACTAGTGGGCCTGCTATCAGTCAATCCAGTCAAATCATGGAAAATCCCGGTTTCCTGATGTTAGTTATCTCCTCGAATTCAGTGCCATCGTCTTGTGCGGCCTCAATGTCAACTATATCCAGTGTCTCTTCTTCAGATCCGCTATCTTCGACAACTTCAACAGCCACCTGGCTCTGGCACTGTGCGCGCTTAGTGGCCACCTTCTTTTTTGAGGTACGGTGCATCTCTTTGACAATACTATCATCTGACTCGGATAGTGATTCTTCCTCACTACTAGGTGCCTTCTTTCACTTTCCCGCATGCTTTGGGGATGCCTTGGACTTTGGTGGGTGAGACCGTGTGTTGTTATGAGAATATGATGAAGCCATTGCTGCAGCCTTTGCAGAAGGTTTTTTAGGACGAGAAGATTTACGATACATGATGGTGGTAGGCTTGGTGGATACAGCGGAGTAGTGGGCTAGGTTGCTTGACTATATACATATCATGTTACCAACATGTTGATTTACATATTGAAAGGTTGGTTTTTACTGGTCTTTGAACTGGTTGCACTCCTGACCAGTCCAAGACCAACTGCAAGACCTTCTGATCAGCAAAGACTGGTTTCTGTTGGTCCGGTTTGAGTCTGACCATAGTAACACTAAATTAAAGGCTGGTTCCAGTCCGGTTGCATCCAAATTGGGCAAAAAACCAAACTTAACTGGACTTTTAAACTCTAACAGGAATGCTACCAAGAGCTGGTCTAAAATAAATTTAGAGTCTACACTAGCATTAGAAAGGAACATACATACCAAGAATCCCCTTCATCTTCTCATTCCCGCTGATCACCTCAAAGAACAGACCAGCGCCAGTCTGGCCAAGTTGCACGTTAATCTCATTGTACTTTTTCCGTAATCTAAAATAGCTAGTTAGTGGCCAGTCTCCACTGAAATTACCATGACAGTATGGTAGTCATGAAGGACTCATGATATAAAGTGGCTTTGAATTGGCTTTGTAAAAGCAAGGGGATGCACTCTAAAATACTCCCTGACCTTCGGATCTTCATCATTCTGGAAAATTGTTGTCACAAGCTGCTGCAAGTATATGTTCTTCTGTGTCATCATCTGTTGGCGTGTGTGTCCTTCCTCCTTCATATCCTTCACAGAATCTGAAAATATTTTGAGCTGAGCCTCTTGATTAACTTTGCACCACTCGATAAGGCGAGCAGTCCACAGACTGTTCTTCTTGTCCTAGTGTATGGTAGGTGGCTTTAAATGATCTCCTGATCCTGCACTGATGGGTGGGCTAGCACTTGGAGGAGTAGAAGATTCAGTCACTAATTCGTGACTACCACGCTTCACCAAATGGCCCTGGGATCCACATCCACAACTACCAGCACTAGCTGTAGCCCCTGCCATGATAAATGCGACATGATAATGACGACAACAACGGCAATGAAGATAACAGCGACCAGAACAACAACAACAACAACAATGAGAACAACAACAACAACAATGACCACGACCACGACCACAATGACAGTGATCACCGGCACAAGTTTTGTTAGAGTCTGAAAGATGCCAAAATTTTCAGGTCATGCCAAAGTTTTTTGTTTGTTGCAGTTTTCATATTTTTTTTACTTTGAGACCTGTTAATTAGTCTAATTTAGTCTAAGTTAAAACGGGAGGTTTTTCCTGATGCAGTTGAGCGTTCTCAATGAGTTCCTGTGTGAGATTCATGTTTCTGATCCGAGTTTCCGAGCTATTTGAGCTCAGCCTGAGGGCTCATAACCTGTAGACTAGAACGAGAGTCTCAGCAAGTGGGAACAAAATGCTGAGGGAAAAACATAGCGACAAAGTGCTACTAATAGTCTATGGAATGATGGTTACATAATGGTGGCTTGTGGCAAAGGTGAATCACTGTATAGTTCCAAGAAGCAAGAACAATGAAAGAAGTAACTGTGAATCTATACATCAGTAAATTCACACATTCCTTAACATCCTTTTTCACCACTTGTCACGAAAATATTCAAATGTTGCCGCTTATTATTGCTTATTCACTTGTCATTTTTCTTTCACAAGCAAATGTGTGATTCACAAGTGCCCACAAGTGCAACAAGTGCCGAAAGCAAGGAAAACGAAAGTGTGTTGTAGATTACAAGTAAATAAAATTTTACAACTATGAATAACATGCAAGGCTGCTTGCAGCAAAACTCCACTCCTCGAACATTAATGAGGTCCACAGAAACCCATACCGGTATAGCCTGTCGCAAATCAGCCATATGAAAATGATTTTAATGAATTCATGTACCTCCAGGCCCCAGGGAAAGATGTCCAGCCAAAGGAATTGAATTGCGACCAAGCTCGATGTCACGCCAGCGGGTCGAAAGATCTGTCGGGAATTGTGCCAACCGTCGACAGTACTAGTAGGAACATGCACCAGCCCTGTGAAAGTGGTGGCTTACGACAACATCCAAAACATTCAAGTCTAACATTTGTGTATGTTTATTTATTCCCACATTCTCACATGACTTTCAAAATGGTTCAACTGTTCCTTGTTCTTCAACACAGTGACATAGTTGACACCTTTCTTCCGTTGCTCTCCCCCTCCATCTTCTTCAACAGCACTTGTCTCTGGGATTGAGGGTATCTGAATTCTCTAAGTGCAGAGGTGCATATATTGTACATTTTTATGTTGCTTCGTCATGCTAACCTACCTTTTTTTGTGCATGATCTCTCGCCCTTTTATCTGCTTACCCCATGCTGATGATGGTCCTTATCCGAAACTCCGAGCTTGTGCAGAGCCTCGCCATGAAGAGGCGTGGTGCACGGATGGATGTGGACGAAGAATCTGGGGATGAGCGAGCACTCATTTTCTAGAGGTAATGTCCTTCACTCTTGTAGTTTATTTTGCAACTGACTATGAGCTTCAGCGCTACTAGTACCTTCAAGGTTATTCATGCTATGTTCCCTTATCTTTTTTACATGTTGTCTCGTTGCCGCCTCCACTACTACTAATGTCATTATACCATTTGCTTTGTTGCGCTCATTTTTAGCTTCATATTGATCTACTTGCTAGTACTTATTTTTTCGTTGTTTAACTTTTTATTTCTGGCTACTACTTAATCCTCTTGTCTGGTTGAAATGCAATTGTTTTTCCTTGTAACAAGTGTGAACAAGCTAAAAATAAGTGTGACAAAGGGGATTGTAATGTAGCTCATTCTAAAAACAAGTGCAAAAAGTGCAGGACAAATGAAAAAAGTGCAAAAATGCAAAAATCAAGAGGAAGGGACCTTCTTCGCAGCTTGTTGCTCCTTGTAACAAGGAGGCATTCTGGTTCTTGTCAGGCACTTTCTGCTCCTGGGTGGGAAAAATAAGAGTGAAAAAGGAAATCAAGCAATGTGTGAATTTACTGATGTAACACATCAGCAATTCCTCGAGTTCCTTATTTGCTTCTTATTTGTCCCTATATACCTTAATTCACATAATAAGGAATATTAAGGCTGTTTTTTCTAAGGAGAATAAGGAGGTCCCTTGCCTTAAACTAAGGAAATTAAGGCAGTCAAAGTGATGTCAAAAAGTGCACTTTATTTTCTACCACAGAGCTAGTTTGAACTCTCGACCATCCAGCTGACCCAGCCAAGATCACATGATCAATTCTCAAACTGTCAAGCAGCTTTACCATTAGGCTACATTTTCTTCTACATCTGTAGGCAGCAATTGATATATATACCATACCCGTTGGACTTAGAATAAAATTCAAGTTTACCATTAGGATTTTGATAAGTGACAATGGTAGACCATGTGAACTTTTTCGAAGAAAATCAAAGTTGTAACCCTTGTCAAGGGTAGTCTATCCATAGTCTCATGACATTTCTTGGTTAAGATCCTAGTGAGTTATAAGCAAAATACTAGAAAGTGGTGTGTTCAAGAAAGTTCAGGCAACACAAGTAATCTCCTTAATTCTCCTTAGGCCGACTTGCAGCCACCATGTGCCTTAGAATAAATATAATTAAATACAAAATCACTCCTTAATACAAGAGGGGTGCAATTTTAAAACTTCTGACATCATCCTGGCAAAACTTCGAGCCCCCCCCCCACCCCCTGTCACAACGTGATTGTCATGGTAATATGACCATATTAGGTAGCTTAGTCAGTTCATTCAGTGAAGACATATACAATTACAAGGCGAGGTAAAGCGTGCAACAAACCTGTAACCTAGACGTACAATCATAGACTTGTGTGTGAATGATAGCAATGATAGCGTGAATCAAGAGAGCATTGAAAATGAGTGAAAAGAGCAACAAAAGAGCATAGTAAACAATGTATGACTTGGAAAGTAAAGTACTAACACGATCGATCAACGGATCAACAGAAACAGAACGAAGGAGACTATGCAATTAAAGTACGTGCAAACTGAAGTGGTTGGACAGAGGTATGAGGTCGTTTCGAGGGTAGGGATGCGGCCGATTCAAGACCAGGACGTTTTCTTGTGCGGGAACCAGATGATGGGACATTCTCCTTGTCACCCTCCTGTCCTACTTGCCAATGCTCTTTCTGAATTCGAGCGGCGGTCTGTTCAAGGTCAGTCAGCCTGATATTCTCCCAGACCACCGCCAGCAAGGCGACGCCAGACACTCTATGCCCAGGCACAGAGTACTCCTCGTGCCCATTGAGAATGTGGTCGACCATGTTGTACCTCCAGACAGCGTCGACAGAGACGACTGGTGTCCTGCAGGTTGACTTTCCAGGTTCAGGAGGGAGAGTAGGGTGACAAAGAGCACATTTGAGGGGAACATTCCGGCAAGGTTTGTTCTTGGAGCCTGTCTCCGCAAATCCGTACTTGAAGGTATGCTGGTAGATACACTTCGTCTCCCAGACCGGAGGGCCATTGGCAGGGACTTTGATGGTGATAGAACACTCTGGTAGTCCAGAGCGGCCGCAAAAACCGCAAGGAAGCACACTGCCGACCTTGAGTAGATGTGTTAAAAATTAATGTACAGTAGTCGTAGAAGAAAAAACACACCGGTTCCTTCAAACTGACATTCTCTGGTGTGTTGCTCAATGCACACAGAATGTGCTGGCCAATATGAGAGCGCATATTGGGAACCTTCGCTTCGCAGAGTGGGCAAATAGTGATCCGCTTGCCTTCAGATGCTGCAAGCAGATTGCTTGCTTTGACGGAGATGACAGCGGATGTTCCTGAGAAGTCTTCTCAACGAACGACAAATTAATATAAGGAAAGACGTACCATCAGAAAGCTGATACGGAAATGAGTTGGCGTCTGATGGGTTCACGCAAGCAATAGACTTGAGAGGGAGTTTTGCCTCAAGTGCCTTCGCCCATAAAAGCTCGCATGCGGCTACAAGGGCATCGTGTGGTACTTGCCAGGTAGTCTGACCCCCATTGATCTCCAAAAAATGATCACTATTGACGTCATGGCCAAGTCGAATGAAGGTTGGCTCGGGATTGATGGGTTCCATGAGGAACCCGGGGACATTAACAATAATGACGTGCTCTGTAGATCCTGAGGTGCCCGGAATGGGAGACTGAGTCTTGACATATCCTCCATCCCAGAGGAATGAAGTAGGAACTTGTGGGTTAGTCGAAGGACGAGTGGGAACAACAGTGAGGAGCTGCCCAGAGATTTTAGCAGTAGTGGGTGAAGCTTTCATGGTGGTAATATTGATTGAAGCACGAGAAACATCGTTGAGGAACAGTCCTGTCGAACGAAGTATGGCGATAGAAAGAATGCGAGCCATACAAAGGATAGTAACAAAAAGATTGCCAACAAGGAATGAATTTTGATCCGTGATGCGCCCTGCACGCATATCAATCCGCTTGTTGACTTTGGTGTAGCCGCGCACACGTTCGAGTCGATTGAATGATTTGGACTCAAAGTCCTTGTTAATCATGAGGTGGCAGATGGTCTGCTTATGAATCCAATGACCTTTGTAGAGTAAGTGTTAAGACCATGCACAGAGGGTAGGACTGATTCCGAGGGGCTTGGCTTCAGCTCGTGCACTGCGCCCCTTACCCGAGTATGTGCCCTTAATTTCAGAATGATGTCCGGAGAAAGTCCAAGGACATCTGAAGGACATCCGAAGCGCGGGAAAGTTCGGAAGGACTTTCCGGACAAGTGCAAGTAACTTCCGGATGAGTGCGGGAAAGTTCCGGAGGAACTTCCGGAAATTACAATGAGGTTTCGTCCTGATACAGATACGTGTAATGGCTACTTAGGACTTGTCCTAAGTAGAAGCAAACAGAAGAAAGGCTGCAAGGACAAAGTCCGAAGCAGAATAGGTCCGGAGGACCGCGGGAAAGTTTCGGATGAACGTCCGGAAACTTCGGAGGATCGGATAAGTGGATGAGCGGAGGATCGGATAAGCAGAGCTCTGGCCTAGGGAATTTCTCCCTAGGCCCGAGATAGATATTGACTAGGTTGGAGAACTAGAACTTTGATATGAGGACTTAGAGTGAGATCTAGTGCAAGGACTAATATGATATTCAGACTGAGGAACTACAGGACATATACAAGAGTTTATATACTAAGTAATAATGGAAAGATCAGTAATCAAGAGTCCGAGGCTATGTATGAAGCATAAGCAAAGTTATCAAGCGTGAGTCGGAAATGAAGCATAGGTTAATGGATCAGTAATCATACCGGTAGTAAGTATAACCGAGACACCGAGGACAAGGAATACCGAATAGAGGAATAGGCTGTGTTAACATTATATGCACAGGAAATGAATTAGGAAGCTTATCATATATCGGATCGGATCGGAGGTCCGGATGAGAAGCGTGGATATACGAGATATGACATTAGGGTAATAGGACAAAGGATGAATGATGCAGGCTAGCTGCAGAGGTATGGAGGTCTGATGTACAGAGGTAAAGGGATCTGGATGTGGATGTGCGGATGTGGATGTACCGAGGTGCAGGGATCTGGATGGGTAGAGGACTGGAGACATGGATAGGGCGTCCGAAGGTCTGGATGAGGCGTGGAAATATTGTTGGATGTAGGTCCAGAATACGGGATATGACAGTAAGTAGTCGTCAGTGTGAATGCCTTGACCTTGGAGCGGCATAGGCGCAGATGCATCTGTTGACGAAACAAGGGATTGAGGGGAGTCAGAACCAGATTCTGCGGCCAGCATCTCTTCAAATGTTAACATAAGTTTGTCACCATCATCCTCATCAATGCCTAGCCCCTGAATTTCATTACTCTCGTCAGCTGGCAACCACAGCAACACTGTCTCAAAGACCTGTGATGGTGGCAAAGGAATAGGTGCAGTAGGCAGGGTCTTGGGCACTCGACTGAAGTCCTCCCGCTCCTCATCTGCGATGCCGAAGTACTTATTCATACCCAGAGGACGTAACATATCCGTTCCGGGATCATGGAAGAGCTCGGTGTAAGCATAGTTGATGTGATCGATCTGAGAAGAAGTCAGGATAGCTACTGCCATCTCACGCCCTTGTCGCCACACTGATGGAAGATCACAGTGACCGCTAATGATATCACCCTTCCACATCAACCGGTTGATGTGATCGACGTCCTCGATCCGCTTGCCAAGGCTGAGGCGCTGGTGGCCAGGGTCAAGTTCAGGGTGCCGCTTGAACACAGTGTTGATGTCCTTTGCAGCACCTAGACGATCAAGAGCCTGAGCATACGAACAGCCTGAATTATGTCCCCCAATCATACGGGATCGACCGAACATGAGTTCAAGTCGATCATCTCCACAATCTCCAAGGAAGAATGATGCGCGCAGATCAAGAAGTTGCTGCTTTGCGATATTAAACACGACACCCTTGACCGATGTTTGAGTGTCATAGTAGAGTTGGAAAGGCATGAATAGATGGCGGTGAACACGGAAAATGGAGAACGCAAGGTGAGCATAGCAGCTAAGGGACTGAACTTGTTCTGTGAGGGAGAGCTTCGTATTGATGAAAGGGACGAGAATGGACTCAATCAAATTGCTGAGGAGAGTGATTGAAACTAAGTCTGCGTGTGTGTTGACATCAGTTGAAAATGAGTCGTTGAGGAGGGAGTGCTGAGACTTAGAGAACTTGACTATAGCCTGCATTAACTCAATGGCCGGGGGACGTCTTGTGGATCATCGGGGTGGAGGAGTTTCATAACACTGGCTTCATCATATGCGGGCAACCAAACAAGGTACCTTGAAAGCATCATAGTGTTAATTACGCGACCGTTATTTAGGACGATGCCTGCAGGGGAGCAGATGAGCGTGCAGAAGCCTATGGGTAGTATTAGAACATGTGATTGTATCAGATAATAAAGAACTTACGTTTAAAAATATGCTTGAAGTCAAAATCAAGCATCACCTCAGCATCACCTGTCATGGTGTTGAGACCAGGCATGTTGCTAAGAATGCTGTATAAGTGTGATTCTGACGATAACGGTTTCTTGAGAAAAAGTTTGTGCCCCGCGGCACGGCGCGTAGCATCACCATCAGTCGCAAAGGACCACACTGGTCCAACAGATGCAGCTGCTCCAGTTGCAACCCAGCGTTCAATTGCACGAACCAGTACACCCTCCATATCAGCTGCATCTTCGGTCTTGCAAGTGGGTGCTGCTAAAATGGGGTAAAGTTCGTCCTCCCCAAAGCACGTGGCTCCAATAACTGTAAGCTCCTTCCCAAGGTGAACTTCGCCATCGTGAATTTTCTGCGTGATTGTGATGGCAGACTCGTATGTATGAAGGACAGGGTCGACGAGGTGGGAATGCTTCCAGCAAAGGCCAGCAATCTTGTTGTATTTACTGAAGTGGATGGCCATTTCTTCCAGAGCTATCTCATCGACCATAAGACTAACACCGCGAAGTGTGGTGATATCAGTGCGAGTGCGGAGAACTATGGAGTCAATGTTTTCGTCGAGCTGCTCATTGCGGATAGGACCAATGGTTGGGGTAAGCTTAGTGAAAACAGACTTGGTACGCAGAGTGCGGATAGATGGGAGACCAAGGCATTGATTAAGAGCAAAGAGAAGCTGACGTCCGCCGAGTCGAAAAACCAACGTTGCGATGTCCAGGTCATTGGCTCCATAGCCTCGCGGACAATATGCTCCCTCGATGGCGTCTTCCAGCTTATTGACTATCTCCCGGACACTGGCACCATTGTGCAATGCAATGTTGATGATTTGCTGGAGCCGAGGGATGTCTTGCTCAGAGATGGCCATGAGAAGATGATGGTAGTCGTCAAGTTGGGTCAGCATGCTCATGTGCTGACGTGATTCATTTAGTCCCTAGATATAGCTAGTTAGCACATGTATTAAGTACATTAAAAAAAAGCTTCAACTGCCTCGTTTGATCAGCATACCCTTTAGCAAGGTCTTGCATGTGTGCAAGGCCCAAAAAGCGGTAATTAGTGTGTGGTTTGGGGTCACGCGCAGCCTCCGCAAGTTGAGAGACATGCTGGGAGATGTCGGCGCATTCATCACATGGCACACCCTCGAGTAGAGTCGATAACCTGCAGCGCCTTGACCGAACGCGAGGCTTGCTTGGATGTGTGATGTCAACGAGGAAAGGTAATGAGTCCGGACCTTCGTGGTATCGTTCCCAAGGTAAAAGCATTGTGAATGGGCGAAGGTCGTCAGGCCAGACAACAGTAAGATCAGCGCAATTAAGACCAGGAGGAGGAGCAAGCAATGCGCTGAAATTTTTGATTGATGATCGATTGATCATGTGTGTGATAAAATGGAACCAAAATTAAACATACCTTGTGTCATTTGAGGTAACTCCGGAACATGTTGATGGTACATCAAACACCTTGTTGTCCTTCTGATGGGCGCTCAGCTTTTTTTTGGCTGTCTGATCGCATTTCCGACTCCCCCGATGATTACTGAGTGACACAAACTGTCCGGATATCCATAAGTTAATGCCCGAGTGTATGCCAGTCTGACACCACTCTGCACAGTCTGGACACAAAAGTTCCCACCGCTTTGAGGCACTGATTCGGACTTGTAGCTTGTCCTTGAGAAAAAGCTGATAGAGCGCATCGGGACTATTCAATATGAGTAGTTCTTCATCGTCATATTCTGTTTCCGGGTCCAAACTTTCTGATTCCGGGTCTGATGAGATGAAGTCCTCAGGGGTCATGGCCAATTCATAGGCATCGGGTAGATCTTCTGGTGCCACTGCCGATTCTAAGAAGGCGTCCAACCAATATTGCGCAGGGCCAGAAGAATCAGTAGAATCAATCGAAGGAGATCTATGAAGATGTGATCGAAAGTCCAAATCTGACTGATATGAGTTGTTAGTTGTGTCTGAGTCCCAGTCGCTATCATCAAGACTTGAGGAATCAAAGGTATGCGCATGCCACTGTAATGCATCCATGATAATAATTTATGTGTAAAGGAGTGAGAGTATGAGACGCAATGAGACGCGTCGACACGTTTGACGCGCATATATTGACATCACGCACTTTGATCATGTGTTTACAAAATTACATCTAACTTTTTTTTTTTGCAAGTAGTACACTTATATGCGCATTTTTATCAAGTAGTTGTATTCTACAGTAAGAAAAACCCCCCCATTGCAAGTAGCAAACAAAAAATATGTTCACTTTTGAGACCGCTAGGTCAAAACTCAGAACGTCTGTCTCGAAAGTTCAAGTGGCTGTATATTAAGGTTCAAAAGCTTAGGTAAAATTGAGCCACATATCCGGGATTTGCCATTTGCACCCCTCTTGCCTTAATAGTCCTTATTCTCCTTAGCCGCCTTAATTCTATTTTTAAGTAATCTAACTCGATGATTTGCTGATGCAGCCAACATTAGCTGTGGGTTCTGTGAGTCTGTACAAGATTGTACAACCCTGTACAGGCACCCAGTAGTTTGCTGATGTAGAACGATTGTAGTCGCCTGAATTGGACACAGATAGAGTAATTGCACAGATTGTGCAGGATAAAAGTGAAATCTATGAGACCTACTCCCTAACGGTAGCGGGAAAAACACAAAGTGGTGATATCGCTCAGCCTTATGCCTTTCATGTAAGCTGGCTGCAGAGGGTGGCATGCCATTCACGGGGCTACACCCAGCCATGAACATCGCTGCAATTCCGACCATCGTTCAATCTATGAGTCTTCCCTCGCCGCGCACAATAGACCTTCAATTACCAGGCATGCCATGCGAAATCACTTGCGAAATCCGGAGCTTGCATTCTCGTCACCACGGTGTGCAGTGGGTCGAGCCCAAGTGTGGCTTATCTTGTACGTTGGGGTAATAGATTCCTCCAGATTGTGCAGTGTGATAGTATTGGTGTGATGGGTTTTCTGGTTATTTTGCGACAACCTGGTTGACGACTCGGTGTCACATAGAAATATGCTGCAAGGGCCGGTAACCGGGCTAGGCAAACTGTAGATGGAGGAAGACCTTTGTTCGTTTTATAATATGCGAGAGCATCGGACAACGTTGGGCCGTAGATTTGGTGAAGATGTTGCGCAAGAAGATTCCGGAAGCATCGTGTCGATTCACATGGGTATCTAGTTTGAGACACTGTAATGCCAAATCATTGAGTTGAAACAAGCGTGTGCTACACACACGCTTGTGTCAATACTAGAAACTACACTTTCAAACAACGATGGATGTCGTATACATACAAGGAACCGCCCACTCAGAACTCAAAACCTCATCTGCTTGACATGGGAACCCGTCAGTGCTGATAAAATGCGAGTGGTCGGATAACACTTCTATCTCGCTCCACCTGAATTAATGGGGAAAGTGCGGGACAACTGTCGTTCTGCTTGCTGGTCGAATATGTCCGACATCTCCACGAGTGCCTGATGGATTTCGCGCATGTCCTTCCCGGCTTGCCTTAAGCGCCACAACGCCTCTATTGTGGTGGCCGAGGTGTCTTCCATCTCTTTGAAGTCATCCCTAGCCTTTTGCACTGCTTTTAGTGCATTCATCATGCTCTCATTTGCTTGGTTCAAGGAAACACGCTAGAAAATACCAGTCAGGAACGAGGTCTAGGAACGATCTGGAAGATAAGTTTACAGGTGGTGGTGCGCATTTTGCAGGGTCTTCTTTGCGTAGTAGCATACATCCTATGAGGGTTGACCAAACAAGAAGTGTGCAGATGGTCATGATGATGTCGACGATGACGTTTCGCCGCGTCGTTGGGTGGTACGTTGTAGCATCGACGGCACAGCTCAAAATTGACCTCAAAGGAGAGAGAAAAGTCCATAGATGACCAAGGGAGTAGGCGAGCGCGTGATAAAGCATGCAGAGCGTTACGAACATGACTGATACTGCGCAGTTGTGCAAGGGTACAAGATTCCCGTCAGGTTTAAATTCCAACGTTTGCGCATGTTATAAATGTCTTGCATGTTATATTTGCGGAAGGCGCACAACGGCGAAACGTTGTGTTGGAACTTGGCAGCTAGGAGAAACAAAAGACAATATTAATTAAATTCCAGTGAGACCGTAACCTTGTAAATTAAAACTATATAGTAGCATTCGGATATCTCCGGATGGCTTGCCTGGCCTAAATCTATTCAGCTAAGTCAATCCTCACCGCGCCGCCTAACGTCAAGATGCCCAAAGGTCGGAATGCATATCGTTTATAAGTGTCTAAGGCTGACCGTTCATGTTAGTTTACAAGCCCGGAAAAGTGCTTCCATCATACGTGTGATCGATGCTACTGTGATTCTAACCTTGTTGTCTAGGTCGCCATCGTCCTACAGGGCCGCCAGGCAGGCAAGAAGGTTGTTGTTATCAAACAACTCGATGAGGGAACCAAGGAGCGACCATACCCCCATGCCATCGTTGCCGGTATCGAACGCTACCCGCGAAAAGTTACACGGACTATGGGTGCCAAGAAGCTACAGCGGAGAAGCCGCGTTAAGCCTTTCATCAAGGTAAGTACACATTGACCGTGACATGGAGATGCGGAACGACATTTATCGAATGTCTTAGGTGATTAATTACTCGCATCTATTCCCCACACGTTACGCTTTGGAGTTGGAGGGCTTGAAGAACTCCGTAGCTGCTGAACACTTCAAGGAGCCGTCACAACGGGAGGATGCACGGAAGACCATCAAAAAGCTGTTCGAGGAACGCTACCAGACCGGAAAGAACAAGTGGTTCTTCCAGGCCCTTCGTGTAGGTTTATTCATGATGCATGCTGCGTTTAGAGCTGATTGTCTGCAACATAGTTCTGATCGCTCCTTTTTATATATGTGGTGCTTGGGAGACGACTTGGCAAAACTACATGTACACCACATATGTCCCTACATGACACATGCTTTCTATGCACCATTGCATGATATTTCTACGTGGACGTGATGCTTGGTGGTATATCGGTGTGACTACTGTAACTTGCAGGGCACAAGTCATGCAAGTCGCTAATCATTTAACCTATCATAAATTCATTTCGGGATTTGTGAACAAATCGTTGTGCGTCGTCGACTTGGAGTGTAGCAATGTAACACCAGTCATCCGAGAGTCTTGAGCCTGTTATACGTAGTCGAATCCTAGTTTGAGTGATGGATGAGGCAAGGTTAAGATCTCGAGACCTTAAGGGGCCTTGAGCTATCCTCAGTACCGTGACTTTGTCGGTGCACCTGCTACCACTAGTGTATTGACTCTATTGCAATTGTTGTCAGCAACTTTTATAAAAGAAGCGACTAGTTAGAGTTATTGATTCTCAGATCTCAGTCTTCGTTTTTGTTTCAAACCGTGTATCATTGTTTCGCTCTGCCAAGGTCAGGATCGTGGGTTTGATCGAGTTGCCATCTTGTATCAGCAAGGTCAGTCTGCATCGGCTCTAATCTCTCAAATACTCGATTTCGAACTACTTCCTGCTTTATAGCTCATAAAAAGGTTGCAAAAATGTCATTCTTTAGTGGCACCGCAGCGCAACCCTCAACAAATGCCTTCGGCAACACGAACGCCCAGCAACAGCCTGGGCAGATAACAAGTACCACAAACGCCCAGCAGCAGCCGGGGCAGACACTCGGTGCCCAAACCACAGGCATCTTCGGCAACACGAACACCCAACAGCAGCCTGGACAGGCAACGGGCGGCAGCATCTTCGGTAATACCTCCACACAGCCATCTACATCCGGTACAACTCTCTTCGGAATGCCTAGTACGGCGACGAGCGCTACTGCAGGTGCGGGTAGCGGGAGCTTGTTTGGAAATACCGCGACGCCACAGCAGCCTGCAGGGACTGGTTCGTCTGAAAATACCAGCACTCAGCAACAACAGCAACCTGCAGCTGCTTCATCTGGGAATACCAACACTCAGCAACAACAGCAACCTGCAGCTGGTGGTTTGTTTGGTAATACCACAGCCAGTACAACACAGCAGCCTGCCACGGGTAGTCTGTTTGGGAGTACGAACTTGAACACGCAGACGCAACCTACAGGAACAAGTCTGTTCGGGAACACGTTGACTCAACCTGCTGGGAACTTGTTTGGGACTACCGGTACCCAGCAGCAGCAGCAACAACAACAACCACAGCAAGGTGGGAGTCTCTTCGGAGGTACTACGACCCAGCAGCAACCACAGAGTAGTAGTCTCTTCGGAAGTACTACGACCCAACAGCCCGCTACCGGTACTGGTGGGCTGTTTGGAACGTCGACTACTCAGCCAAGCACCGGTGGAAGCTTGTTTGGCGGTGCAAGTTCCCAAGCGCCAACGTCAGGAGGGAGCACTCAGCAGCAACAGCAACCTGCAACCGGTAGTCTATTTGGTAACACGACAAATACACAGCAGCCCGCCACGGGTAATGTGTTTGGAAGTACGACCACTCAGACACAACCTACAGGAACAAGTCTGTTTGGTAATACGACAACTCAACCTCAGCCTGCTGGAAGCTTGTTTAACAATGCAGGCACCCAACAGCAGCAACCACAACAGGCTGGAGGTCTCTTCGGAGGTACCACGACTCAGCAGCAGCAACCACAGAGTGGTAGTCTCTTCGGAAGTACTACGACCACACAGCCTGCTACCGGTACTGGTGGGATGTTTGGAACGTCAACGACACAACCAAGCGCCGGCGGGAGTCTTTTTGGCGCCACCAGTACGCAAGCGCCAACATCAGGGGGGTTGTTTGGTAGCACGACAACTCAAGCTCCAGCTGCTGGAGGAAGCCTCTTTGGTAGTACAACAACGAGCTCAAACCCATTGTTTGGGAATAAAAATCCAGCGAGTATCTTTGGTACTGCGCCTGCCCCCTCCTCGACTACTCCAACTTTATTCGGTCAATCCCAATCCGCGCAACCTATTACCACTCCCTCGTTATTTGGCCAGTCCCAGCAGAAACCAGCTGGCTCCCTATTTGGCTCAGTGAATCAGCCTGCGCCGAGTACAGCTACTGGAGGGCTTTTTGGCAGTACGCTAGGTCTTCCACTATCCAATTCACTTCTCGCATCGCGAAGCACTGCACCTTCACAACAACAGGACCCTCAGTCACAATATGCAGCGCTTGAGCAGAAAATCCAAGCAATTGTACAGGCTTGGGATCCTTCTTCGCCAGCATGTCGCTTTCAGGTTGGTCTCATGCAGTTTATGTATAATCTATCGTGAACTCATTCATCGAACAGCATTATTTCTATAATCTCGTTCCACCGGCCCAAGTGAACGCCTTCGGTAGACCTGCAAATGCCACAAACGAGGCGCTTTGGCAACGTGCAGTGCACGACAACCCTGATCCTAGTTGGTAAGCTCAATGACTCGCCCGCCACTCAGTATGCCCATGTTATCTCTTCAGTATGGTACCTGTTCTGGCAGTTGGCTTTGACGATCTGCGTCAGCGCGTAGACGGGCAAATGAAGCAAGCCACGGAACAGCAAAAAGCTTTAATGGTTTGTGGTCATGTCTTACGTTGTAGAAAACTTCCTTACTCAAGCGTGTTTCAGGAACTAAAAAAACGCCTGGAATCGTTGTCCGCAAGACATAACGATAGCAACGCATCACGTTTGCAGCGCGCAAAGTTAATTCAATCACAAACTCAGCACCGCCTGCTGTGCCTCATCCAGCACATGCATCTGATGCTACCTACTGTCCGGTCTACGGCGATACGTCCCGAAGAAGAGGCGCTGCGTCTAGCGCTAGAAGAGATTGAAGAAGAAATAAGAAGACCAGGTGGAATGAGTAAGATGCGAGGAAAGCTGAATGAGCTGTGGGCGCTCGTAGGTGCTATCAACGCTGCGCGCGAGAGAGGCAGAAGAGTGGGACTTGATGGCACCTCTGAATGGACAGTCGTCGATGAGGAGGGCCTAAAGCAGATCGCTCAGGTAAGGTTCTACTTGTAATCTTTGAGCTTTGACTTTGACATGGCACGTTGCAGATCTTGTCCAATCAGCAAGCTGGTTTACAGCATTTGACGAAGGTGTTGCAACACGATCTGAAGGACTTGGAGGTGATATATGGAAGAGAGAGCTAAACAGAATCGTTCGAGCATATTGCTTTTGTTACTGTGATGATGAGCCTCACATTATTTTTGTAATTGAATAGATAGAATTGTAGGTAGACAACAATCGATCATGAGCGTGCGAGTCGGCCACACCTGGGTCTTGTACATAAGGAGCCTTTGATTCCGATCCGTATTAATTACTTTCAGTCTGTGAACAAATGTTCCTCCTCCTGTAGCGCTCAGGATCTTTCATTCTACTAGCTACCATAATCCCTCTCTGAGCTCAGTAGTACATTCAAAAAATGCGTTACCGCACCCTCGAGATTCGATGGCATGATTCCAAGCCCATATCCACTTGTGACTTTCAACCTGTTCCATTCAAAAAAGCGCGTCCAACGCAGGAGAAGAATTTTGCTGCGCAGTCCTATAGGCTGGCTACAGGAGGCGAGGACAACCACGTTAGAGTGAGTGAGCCTGCACTGGTACGTCCAGCGCGCTGACCAACGTGGGCTGGAAAAGATTTGGATGGTGCACCCGAACATCCTCCCGTCGTCTCTTGCAGAAGGTGCAGATGGCGCTGCGCCACGCCCTGCTCGGGTTGAATATCTTGCAACACTCAGCAGACATTCGGCTGCTGTAAACGTCGTTCGATTCTCCCCTAACGGTACGTATCTTAAGCACGCGCCTTGTCAGCCCTGGCCACTTCATTAACGCGACTTTAGGGGAATTCATTGCCTCCGCTGGAGATGGTACGGATCTTAAATATTTTGCTGATCCTATTTGACGCGAGATTATTGAAAGACGGCATGATCATCATCTGGGCACCTTCAAGCACGCCGCAGACCGCCACGTATGGTAGTGATCTGACTGCGGACGAATTGCAATATGAAAAGGAGTACTGGAAGCCGCGTACGACGTTCAGGTAACTTCCATGCGCAATTTCAGATCGAGTTGGAATAAAACATGGGACAGGTGCACATCTATGCAGGTGTATGACCTAGCGTGGAGTCCAACTGGGGAATACATTTTAGCCGGCAGTACGGACAACTGCGCGAGGGTGTTCTCTTCCAGTGATGGTGGGTTTTCTGCGTTATTGCTGTGGGGAATACAGGCTCATTGGCTTAGGCAAATGCGTCTGCGAGATCGCCGAGCACAACCATTATGTCCAAGGCGTAGCATGGGACCCGCTCAACGAATATATCGCCACACAGAGCAGTGACCGTTCGATGCACGTGTATCGGATCTCGACCAAGCAGGGCACGTTCGAAGCCCATGCTGTGGGCAAGAATACACGAATGTCTTACACCCATAATCACAGCCGCACCCCTAGCTCGCACAGCCGTTCCAGGTCCTACAGACATGAGTCTGCTGTTAGTGATGTAGAGTCTACTGTCAGTGATCAGCACAAAGATGATGTTCTTTTCTCTGGCAACTACGCTCCTCCGACACCGACCGCGTCAGTAGTCAGTACTCCATCCACATCGATGTTCCCTCCTCCGCCGATTGAGAGACCTTCTTCGAGACGGTCTTCATTCAGCGGATCTAATGCCCCTGGCTCTCCTGGGCAATATGCACGATATGGGAGATCCCCTTCTCCTATGCCACCCCTTCCCGCAATCCGTGCGCTTCCTTCGCCCGCATGGTCGACTATTAAACTCTATGGAGATGAAAGTTTCTCGAACTTCTTCCGCCGCTTAACGTTCAGTCCAGATGGGGGCCTCTTGCTAACCCCCGCAGGGCAATTTGAGGATCCCAGCATCATTACCAACAAGCCCAAGGCCGAGGAAACTCCCACTCGTGGACGTAAATCCAAACTTGCAATTACCACGAGCGAAACCAACCCTTCATCGGCATCGTCGGTGTTCATTTATTCAAGGGCGAACTTTGCCCGTCCTCCTATAGCTCAGTTACCGGGACATAAGAAAGCCAGCGTGGCTGTCAAGTTCTCCCCTGTGCTTTATGAATTGAGACAAGATGTCGTTGGTGCAGAGGGGCATAACGAACCTAAGACAGGAACTCTAGAAAAGGGCAAGGATGGGTCGATTTCTGTTGATATTGCTGGGCCTTCTGCGACACCTGAATTTCACAAGGACGTATCTGCATATTCTCCAAAGGTGGAAAAGAATTTACATGTCGAAGCGCCTACGCCTCATGCTGTGGCTCCCGAATTAGTTATGCCTGCATCATCGCTGAAGCCTTCTACGCCATCACCATCGAAGCCCTCTACCCCGGCGATCGCTCCACTCAATACTGGCTCCGTGTTTGCGCTGCCTTATCGCATGCTTTACGCTGTTCTGACCATGGATGCCGTTGCCATTTACGATACCCAACAATCTGGACCTGTTTGCATGCTCACGAAGTTGCACTATGATGAATTTACGGATGCATCGTGGTATGTGATGACTATTTCTGGCTACTGGTATCTATATTGAATTATTTAATAGGTCTCCTGACGGACAGTGTCTTATCCTCTCATCGCGAGATGGATACTGTACGATTGTGATCTTTGATGATATTTTACCTGCGCATCACACTCAACAATATGCATTACAACTTCAGTACATCGCGCAACATAATTTCGTGCCCCTCACATACACGATGACGCCCTCGTCTTCTTCAGTTCCACTGGCTGCTATGGCGACGCCTACTATTCCTGCAAAGAGGAACGAGCCGCCTCTCACGCCTGCTACTAGCATTGACAACAATGCCTCTGCGGGCAGGAGTGCACCAGAAGTCACACCTGCGAAGTTGGCACAACCCCCAAAGAAAAAACGCCGCCTAGTGTTGACGAAGGTTGGGGATATCGATTCATGAAGGATGGTTTGCGTCCCTCGATATTGCGTGACGTTTCAACGAGTCTATGATACATTATGTTTTTTTAGTGATTTCTTGTCCTGTTCACTATGTCCTCCCCATTTGGGCTTGTATGGAGTATTCACCTCATGCTTCTACAATCAGACCATGTATTAAGGGTTCGATATGCGTGATGATGATGAATGTAGCAATGGACGTAGCAAACAACTTCCTGATAATACAACGACGGCTCATTGCGCAGTTGCCTTTCTCCTGCCAACCTGGGCCTGGAAACCACTCTTAATCGCGTTGACGGATCGACGTGAGCCGCAGGACTCGCAGGACATGAAGAAAATACGGTTCTCCTTTGTGAGGAGCGTGTCAGGTGATTTACATGTCTTGCATGTCACATACTCGACTTTGACAATATTAGCGCTGAGCATGAAAAGCGCAGATGTCATTAAGCTTACCGATATAACGACGCAAAACATTCTCGACTTGTTTAGGCTGGAAACGACCTTTGATGACCAAACGCCCTGAACCGTCTACTGAACCAGTGGTACCCATTTCAGCGAAGAGGAATTGAATGACATGCTCTGGCTGTCTGTGCATCCTCTTGCAGATATCTGCAACGTTTGCAAATATTGATTTACGGACACCCTCACGGAGAATTTGTGGAGGTGCGATCGTGTATCGTTTACCGGTGGAAGTGAGTAATGATGGATTTGCGGCATGAAGGGAGGCGTAAAATCGTGTTAGGAGCTTATGGTGAAGGTTAATATAGGTCAAGAAAAGGTGTCACAGCAAATGCACATGCCTCTGGGTAAGTATAATCTCGGTCGCTCCCAAGCCATGGTTCTGTGCCAGACTCAATGCCTGTAGGTGCTTCATTGCGTGCAAATGGGTCGTCCCCAAGATCTGCTTCATCTAGTTCATTAAGATGCTCTCCGTCGTCGGCTTCAGCCTCCTCAGCCTCATCTTTTGCTTTTGCCTCATTCAGCTCCTTCTCGAAGTCTTCCATTGCTTTTTTCTTTGTTGACTTCTTTTTCTTCTTGATGTCGGAGAAGTCGAGATCTTCCGTAGCAGCGGGTGCAGCTGCAGGCGATGCTCCTGAGCCATCTTCGCCCTGATAGCATACGCATATAAGATCGCCAAACGTGGGCTTGACATGAGATTACTCACAAGGTCCATAGGGATGTCTTTCTTCTTCTTTTTCTTCTTGAGACCATCTGGAAACATGGCCTTGAAATCATCGTCTTCCTTTACTTCATCGGCAGCATCAACACGATCTGGTGCCCCATTGAGACTTTGCTTCATCTGCTCGTGTGCGGTGGTAGGACCGAGATCGACGACATCTCCGTTGGTAGTTGTATTCTCGATAGTAGTTGGTGCAGGTGTAGTAGGATCTGCTTCAGGACCTAACGGGTCCTCAGTGAAAGCTACAGCTTTCTTTTTGCGCTTTTTGAGCGAAGGATCGAACAATGGCTGTTCTGCTGCCATGGTGGTCGACGCGTAAGATGGGCTTGCTCGTTGATGAGTACGTTGAGCAAGATATGACTCTATCAATGCCGAGATCCGGCAATGCGAATCTGAGCTCCGATCGGATATCGCCGGAAGTCGGTGAAGTATGTTGGGCTACTCGGAATTCGGTCGCGCACCAAGTTTGACCACTTTTCAATGTTAGCAAGGCGTTCACTTGCCCGTATCGCGACCCAGCCCTCCCCGCTGGGAGCTGCTCCCAAAAATGCCCGCAACATGGCTACGTTGCGTGAAATCGAGCTACGGTTGAAGTCGGTCAAGAATATCGAGAAAATTACCAAGGTGCGCCGACGTGTTGTTTTTTGTATTATTTCTGGGCGTTGACAGCGGATACTTGTTGCGATGTACAGTCCATGAAGATGATTGCTTCCACCAAGCTCGCAAAGGCGCAGCGTGCCATGCAGAGCGGCAAGCAGTACGGTCTTGCTAACTCCGGTGCGTCCCGTAGACTGTATATCCGCTTCTATATTCTCAAAACAACCCAGAGATATTCCAGCATACTCCTTTAGAAACCCCTGCAAAGCGCAAGCTTTTTATCGTCGTCTCCTCCGACAAGGGTCTCTGCGGTGGTATCCATTCTTCCGTGTCCAAGGCCACCCGTCGTGCTATTGCTGACACTGAGAAGCCTGTCGACTCCGACTCTCCCATCATGGTCATCGGTGACAAGTCCAAAGTACAACTATCACGTGTACTCGCCAAGAATTTGGCCATGTCCTTCAGCCAAATTGGCCGTGACATCCCCACCTTCGCTGACGCTGCTGGCGTTGCCGACTTGATTGTGAAGAGCGACGTCAAATATGACGGGATTTCTATCGTTTACAACAAATTCGTCTCTGCTGTCGCTTACGAGCCTGAAATAGTTGAAGTTGTGGGCGAGAATGCATTGAAGGAGTCTGGTATGGATAACATGTTACCAAGTCTTGTTGTGACTCATACATTTCTAGCTGGATTCCGGGCCTACGAAATGGAGGACGACGTTACAAAGGACCTCGCCGAGTTTTCACTTGCAAACGCCATTTATGCTGCTCTTGTTGAGGCTCACGCATGCGAGCAGAGTGCCCGGTACGTTGATCTGGTAAACTTTTACGTCATATCATTCAACATTTTTGGGCACAGTCGCAACGCCATGGACAATGCATCAAAGAACGCAAAAGACATGATTGACCGACTGACGATGCAATATAATCGTGGCCGTCAAGCTGCCATTACCAACGAGTTGGTTGACATTATTACCGGTACGCTGAATTTTGTCCCCGATACCACGCATTTACTCACGATGAATGTACAGGTGCCAGTGCACTGTAGGCAGGTGCCGTGGTTGTTTTATACATACCAAATCATTACCCCTGTCTACATTGATAGTGAGACACTTGGATTTTTTTCTGCTGTGAAGTTGCGTGTGCGCGATCAATATTAATGTAAGATGCACGACAAATACAAGAGGGCAAAGGTATTGTGACGAATGGATTTGTTCCTAAACATACGGATTCCCGGGGCTCGAGACATGCATGCATGATCTTGAGCCACTTATCTCAGCTCGGTGCTTAGTCTATTGTCCCCACATCAGATTCAGATCCACGAGGCAGATAATGTCTATCCTGGGGTAACCTGTGGGTAAACGCGTGGGTATTCTCCAACAGAACTTGTTTGAGGTTAGGTTTATTGTCGGTTCTTGTATGAGATAACGTCAAGACATGAAAACATGGTCGCGGTACATTTAAAATGGAATGGATACAGCCAAGAGAAAATACAACGGTGTCAGCGATGATCCCGTATCATAAAGCACATAATAGTCGTAAAAAATCATCAACGTTTCGATTTTTTATCTATCCTGTCTGGATACAACTATTCGTTCTGCGTCAGCACCAAACTCCTGCCACGCGATCTGACTCACCTTTCCGGGGTTGAACAAACCAAGTGGGTCTAGGGTCCTCTTGACGGATCGCATTAACTCCACCGTTCCCTCGCCGAGTTCTTCGTACAGATATTCCCGCTTCCCAATCCCAACACCGTGTTCGCCAGTGCCTGTAGACGTAAGATCACCACCTTCGTGCATGTAGCAGTGAAGACGTACAAGTGCCTTCAAGCTTTATCGCACGCTTCACCATCCTATGCACGGCTTCGCGAACGCTTTCGAGCTCCTTATCATTGCGGAACAGAAGCTGGGTGTGAAAATTGCCTGGGTGTGATGTTGTCAATGAGAAAGACGATACAATGCGCGAAGTGTGTGGGTACTAACCGTCACCAACGTGTCCTACAACTATTGATACAAGGCCTAACCGTTCCAAGTCTTTCTTGGTTTCATACACGAGTTGTGGTAGTTTCGAGACTGGCACGCTGCAGGCGGAAAACATAAGACACGCCTGGACCTGCAGCAGCTTGGGCTTACCAAACATCAGTGCTCCACCCCCGACTTCCTTCCAGGAGGGCCAAACCAGAATAAAGAGCGTTTTTTCTGTCTGCCCACAGGTCATGTGCTTCTTTCTCAGAACGTGCCAATTCAAAACCAGTGCCGCCGTGCTTCTGCACAATTTCCTTTACGATCTTAGCGGTCTCCGCGATCGAAGCAGACGTTGGACCTTGGAATTTGAAGAACAGGGAGTCCTGTTCAGGGTATTTGCGCTGGGATGCACCAAATAAATTTATAGAGCGCATGAATTCAGAGTCGCAGAGTTCAACACATTCTGGATCCTGGAGGTGAGCGTGTTGCTTGATCAGGAAGGGATAACCTACGGATGCCAACGCCGCGGTTCATCACGTCGATGACGGCCTCCGTTGCACGTTTCACATCAGGGAAGTGTACGACGGCGACTGTTGTTGGGAGGACGGGAGCTAACCGGATAGTGACTAACAAAAGTGTCAAGAGCAATCGACAAGAGCAAAATACGTGATATCACCTTCTGTGATGATACCAAGAGTGCCCTCGGCACCGATGAACAACTTCGTGGTGTCGAACCCAGCTGCAGATTTCCGAGCACGTTGGCGAGTTTTGATGACTTCTCCAGAAGGAAGAACAACCGTCTATAGGGATACTCAATCAACCAATTCAAATATCGTCAAGGGAACCAATAGATACCGCATTCAAGAACCATTCGCCTTTTGCAGTACCGTACCGGACGGCATTCGCTGCCAAGGTCAACACGTCAATAATCGCACCGCCGATTTATGACTGCTGATACGTACTGCCTGAGCAACCAGTGCTCATCATGCCACCGATAGTGGCGCCTGGGCCGGGATCCAACTATGTGAGTAAAAATTGTCAGATGACGATACAGCGTCAATGTCAGAACGTACGGGAAAGAATAATGGTATGCCTTTCAAGGATGTGAGTAACGCGACGAAATTTGCATTGCGGTCTTACCTTTCTTCTGCAATGTCTCGTTAATTTCCATCCATCCGACACCGGGCTGGCAAACAAGGTCTGAGTCCGCCTCTGGTTTGGAAGAATATTGAGTAGTATTCGAAGAAAGGTGCATGACACACTCGCCATGAATTTCGATAATCTTATTCATGTCGGACATATCAACACAAATACCACCGACATGGCTCTAGAGGGCCACCGTCGTGAGCATGAATGGCTTTAAATAGGAATCGACTCACGCCACGATAACTTCCCTCTAAGGAGGTACCACCAGAGAAAGGGGTGAGGGGCATACGGTACTTGACGGCAGTCTTGACGATTTTGACTACATCCTCTGTACTCTTTGGGTATACGATGACAGTATGCGGTGCATCTGGAAGACTAACATGAGTTTGGGAATGCGAAGCTCGGCCGAATGGAAGCCCTCACTTGGGTGGTAATCATTCTCTGAATATCCGTGAATACGAAGGTCATCCGGATGAGTTGAGACAGCATCATCTGAATCAAATAAATCCCGAAGTTCCTTGATGGCCTGTTCAAAGTCTTTCGGGGTACCATACTTTGGTTCCATCTCCTCGAGAGCCTCGGATGTCAGAGAAGGCTTCCAAAGCGCACTGAGAGAATATCCGATAAGCCCGCTAGCGATAGAACCAATGACAATTGGAGACCAGGAACGTGGACTCTTCAAGGGCACGCTCGAGCTCTGTCGACGGGCAAAGGTCAGTGCATGTTGTTTTCTGAAACGACCCAAGTTTGTCGACAGGCTGGTGGACGGGCGCAGCCGCTGGAAGCAGCTGGCTGGAAACATATGAGGGGAAGTGTATATAGTGGTGACCTATGGGCTACTAATATCGTTAGATCCCTGGAAATTGTGAAGAACAACGTTGGAAGAGTGGAAAAATCAGAATTGCTTTCGCCAGTACATAAGACTTAGTAGTACGGGAATAAGACCACTATTATTAGGCGATTCGGCAGATTATATCTTGGATCGCCTGGGAAGAGTAGGCAGCTGATTGGTAGGCTGACCCCCGCTCAGAAACTTTGTCTGGATTCTGGAAGACGTAAATTTCACCAGTTAACTAGTGTGTTGATTATGAAAAGTGACACTGCATGAACGATGAACGATTTTCATTGGCTAACTACGCTACTGATGCATGTGAGTACCGACTCCGATTACATAATATTGAACAGACTTGGAGTCCAGGCTCTCGATGTGAGTTTCTCTATCCTAAAATCTTCATTTCTCCAGCAGTGGCAGTAAAGCAAGCATTCCCACTTAATTCTATGTTGTTCCATTAACCATACTGCACCAATGAGAAGCAGAAACATGTCTCACTGTCGTCTGTAGCTCATGGGACCTCACACAAATATACGTAGTCTCCTGGCTACCACGCCAGTCAGTCAACAAACTTGAATCCTGGATAAAACTATTCATACTCACCTTATCAATTACTCGGAGCGGCATTTTTACCCAATGAAAGCCACGGCAGCAATCTTCGCTTGACTCACAAGGCCAGCTAATTAATTGGCATTCACCGTCAGCACTGACAACCATGGATACTGCCAAGGCAGCAACAACGGCGAGGACAACTCGGAAGGAGGGACGCATCATTTGTGAGATGTTTCTCGGAAATAAACCGGTAGGAAGTGACGGCGAGGATGACTCGGAAGGAGACGCATCATTTGTGAGATGCAATACAGGATGGATCTTGGGAATAAATGTGAAGGGGGACGGTAGGACGACAGCTTTCTTTTATGTCCTGGATACTATCCTGTGCAGACCCTGACCATTCGAAATTTACTTTCAAACAGATACCATTCAGAATGCCAACAGACCTCAATTATGACTAAATTATTGTTGCGAGAACAGGACCCCCGTAGATGGGGAGGCCTGGTCCCGGTTATCTGAGAATTGAGGATCGATGTCTAGACATGGGGACCACGCTTATCGGCCTGTATTCTTGGGTCCTATGTAGAAGTGTTCTACCACAGGTAACGTACAATTCCAAACCGTTGCTGTATACAGCCTACGTTACTAGGCGACACGGGGATCTGGCAGAAACTGAATTGAGAACTTCAGGCGTCTCATGGATGCTGAGGAATTTCAGAGTCTTGTCGTGCATCAGGGAACGCGAAACATGATACTGGCAGCCGAGGCTTTGAAGATCAAATTCCAAAAGAGAGTGCGCTCCCTAGGTCTGTCGATGTTGTTAATGCACACTACAGAGTATCATCAAGAAACAAAGCTAGACCCCGACGTTAGTTCTCCACCGAGATGCAATCTTTTCACAACGGGTACAGATGTAGCACTAGACACGATGTACCTGTTTATGTCAGATATGTGTACGACAACGATTGGTCTCATCTCGCGGCTTCATACCCCTCCTAGCGTCCGGTATTACCGGAACGAACCTCTAAGCCCTAGTCGACACCAAAACCATCCCTCTCCAACACCAATTTCCACACGCAGCCTCCTCTTCACGTCACCTCCTCCGATCACCATCGCCTACCCATCCTTCTACCCATCCTCCTGGTGATGCATGTTGTAAGCGAGGTATTTCTTGATATGCTTTGGAGATGCTGATTGCAGACGAGCAACTGCTTAAGCCTGAGCTGCCTGTGACTAGGATTCGCCGAGCGTTGTTTGAGTAGTTGGATGGCGTCACGGTCCATGCAGGTGGGCACTGCTTCCAGGGGTGAAGAAGCCAATTGTGACAGCCATCTCAGAGGGCAATGGAGTCTGACGAGGATAGGATGATGCTGAATGAAGCCGAATGACCCGATGTTTCAAATTCACGTCGAGTTCTAACTTGCGTACTTTATCCTGCAGGAAGAAATAGGGAAGCAATAGTATAGTAGCCATGGGAGGAGTGTATGTAAACATAGTGAATGAAATCTTCGTGCAGCCGAAACTGTTTTGTAAGAGCGAGTCATAACAGATATTGTATGAAATCCGTAAAATGTGCATAAATCTTCAGTCGATTAAGATATGTACATGCAGTCTGACTGACAAATACAACCGCGAACGCAATGCAACCTACTACTGTTCGCGACACTTGTGCCATGATGTGCCGTGTGCGACACGACTCAAGTCCAGCTGTAGGGCATTGTTGGATATCACCAGCGTGTTGCCTGGGGCATACACCACTGGGTGGAAAGTGAGTGGGATCCAGAGTAGAATTCGTCCTTCGGGACCTACAATCCATCCCTCCTTGTTTAGACTGGAGGGGGCTGGGGTATCAGAATCTTGGATAAAGGAGGAGGCAGAATGAAGGGCATGAGTCGGATCGGATGAGAAACATATTGTAGGTGTTTCAAATGATTGGTGCTGCTGGATTAGAGATTCTAGATCCCACACTCGGATAGTCCTGTCGGACGACCCAGATACGATGCGTTTGCCATCAGGTGAGATTGCGACAGACAGAACATGTCCGGTGTGCCCTCGGAAAGGGGGATCCACTGCCTCGCCAGTCTTCATATCCCACACCCGGACGGTCTCGTCGTCCGAGCCAGACACTATGCAATTGCTATCTGAGGAGACCGCAACAGTGTTAACCCAGTCAGCGTGGCCTTGGAGAGGGGTGCCCAATAGCTCGCCGGTCCCCATATCCCACACACAGATACATCAGGAAATTCTCACATTTGCTTTATGTACTTAAATGACTTGATAAGCACAAATAAGTAGGAACGATGGATAAGTAAACATTGACTTATTCAGACCAGTCGATCTCTTATTTTCGTCTTAATTTCACTTATCCCTCTGGTAGTAAGACGAAAAAGTGATCATTGGATCCAAACAGTACGATAAGCGAAGTAATGAAACACCACAAAAAGTCAATTAATAGGATTTATAAAACGAGCGGACAAAGCGGTCGAAATTGTGAGTGAGCGAAACTTCAACTTGAATACTGTGATGAAGGGCAATACGAAGGAAGGTGGCGGCGGTTGAACCTTGAATGGTACGAATGCTGCGGTGCTGACATGTAGGTGCGTCACAACTTGAATATAGCACCACCATGACAATATAGTATTCTGTTGAGATAAGAAAAGAGGTCAGTGATGTTGATGGTGCGGGAAGAAACTAATGTTACAAATGAGGGCACGGTCGTTGATACTCTCCTCCACGTCATCGTCCAAAAAGTCCGTGTTCGATGTCTTCATAAGCTTTCGTGCACGCACAATAATGTTGAGTTTTGTTTCCTCATCCCTGCTACTGATTGATTTCATGTATGACTCCGTCTCTTCGTGCCAATTCGCGAATGAAAATTTATAATTTCCGCTCGACATCTTCCCTGTCACCTTGTTGAGCGTTTTTGGGAGTTTGACGCCAGACTTGCCAGTTGTCATGGATGCGAGAATGTCTTCGACCTTGATGACTTTGTCTTTAACGAACTTGAGGGCACGTTCAAGCTAGAAACAATCAGAAAAGCAAATTTCAGATAAAAAAAACCTCACCGCGACAACACAAAGCACGATGACACCGTCCATGCCTTTACCCAAGGCAAGCTCATCAGTATATAACGCAGGGACATCAGCATGATTGACGATGGCGCTGAGATGAGTGGATGCGATCATTCGCAGTACAAACACTGATAGGTAGGCTGTGTCCCGTGATATATTGTCTGGGTCTTCATACATGAAGGCGTAATTCTGGAGGAATCGCTTGGCAATGTCGGCGTTTGGTGCATCCGTGATGCGCGAGCAAAAATCGACGATGATGGCAAGTGCCGTGGAACCAATGTTGCTCCTCCACTCCGAGAGTCGCTGTTGCGCCTAAAACAGCATATGAAAGATGCAGCACAAAATGTATTAAATGAACTTACTACTGCAAATACTGCACCGTTCGTATTTACCTTGTATTTGACATCAGGGTAGACTGTATCAAAAATCTCCTGCAGTGCGTCTGCCATCACAGACTCAGGTATTTCCCATGGATTAGGTTGACTTCCAGCCCAGAGAAGCGTGGTAGACAAGAAAGCCTTCACCCACTTTGAGTCAGCAGGTATGGGAAGATCGTTGTTGCGATATTGACCACGGGGCTTGATGACCTCCTGTGCAGCAGTCTTCCCGGCATTTGATGGGACTTGGGTGCTGGGGGGAGGCACAACATCATCATAATAGCCTGCCGGGACCTGAGTGGAGGGTGGAGGCACAACATCGTCATAATAGCCTGCCGGGACCTGAGTGGAGGGTGGAGGCATGAGATCGTCGTCATCAGTAACCTTGGAGGCTCTGGAGCGCTCTCTCTTCAACTTTTTTGGTGGGGGAGGGGTAGCGCTCTGAGATACAATGGTAGATGCCTCAAATATACAAACTGAGTCGGTTATGCAAGAGATAAAATAAACACGCACTGATGTAGTCTTGCGAGGGGCATATACCTTCTTCTCCGAGTCAATGATGGCCTCGGACAAGAGGCCTGTCATTTCCTGCGAATCATCAATCAAAATGTCAGAATCATCCGTGGCCTCGGATGCAGTCTCGTCAACAAAATCTGCAACATCATCCGAAGCCTTACGCTTGACACCACCAGACTCTGCAAAATAAGTTATCTGCTCCGGCTCAGAGTCACTCTCACTAGCGGGAACGATTACAGTAGACTTCTAGAATCCAGGTTAGTCCTTGAACAGAATGGTTCATGGAAATAATGACTTACTCTAACTGCCTGTCTCCCTTTCTTCTGAAGTGCAACTGGATGCCGTTCCAAAACATCAGAGCCATCAAGGCTATCATCGCTAACCATCAGGACATCGTCGGTAGATTCGGAGAATATGTTGAGTTCGGTTGGCTGCTTCTTGTCAATGGCCGCAGATTTGGTCTTAGAACTAGTGTTAGTACTGGTGGTGGACAACACTGATGAGGGCGGAGTGGAAGCAGCTTGAGATGCAGAATAGGTGTTCGATTTGAGACTGGTTGCATTGGACTTTGGGTCAGCTTGTGGTGGGACATCGTTGAACCAGCCATCGATAAAACTGTTGAGTGACGATTTTTCAGTCGTCCTTGAAACCGCACGGTTAATAAAGAATAGAGTTGACTCGGTGAGTAAAAACATTGGGAAGCAAGTGTGTTGACTCACGATAATGCCGCATTGTTGCCTTTATTGTTACTGATGGCACGTGCATCCGAAGCAGCCTTCAATCCAGAACGGGCATTTCTGATCGCTTCCTTCAGTAACATCGTCTTTTCCTGCTTCTTTGTCTTGCCGCTTTTTCCAGCAGCCTCATCAATCTCACTGTCTCTGAGAAGCGTGTCCTCTAGGTAAGTGTCAGTTTCAGTTACTACTCTTGATAGGAGGCTCATACCACTTGCGGTGTCCTTCATAGACACTTTGTTACCTTTGCCTGTAGGACGAGGACGGGGCCGAATAGGTTTTGGCTTGCTTTCATGCATTTTGGCTTCAAGAGTCTCCATGCCGTCTTCAATTCCTGCAATTCGTTCAGCAACCTTTTGAATCCGGGCATTCCTCTCTTCAGGGCTTTCATTTGCGTATGGGGTATTAGCAACTTTTGAAGTCTTGGTACGAGGTTTTCCCTTTGCATTCTGGAGCCGCTCCTCAGCTTCAGCCTCCAGAACAGGCCTACCAGGATGAGCATTTGCGTTTGATGGACGAGTCCGACGCGTGGACACTTCTTGTGAGGCTTTGGGGGGCATAGCTGACTGACGGAGATGATGGGAGGCGAGGACGAAATGAAGCGAAAAGTTCAAGGTAAAATTTGCATGGTACTGGCCCCGTCAATTTGCACAAATATGCGCTCACACTTGTGTTACGTTCCAGAACTTACTACTTGGGCTCAATTTTCGTACTGCTACGTCTAGTCCCAATTCAGTTCTATACGCCAAAGTTCCCGTCAAC